TTTATCTCTATTCTTTATCAATCATTTTGCTGAAATAATATAGTCAGTTTGTAATAAACAGGAAGCCAATACATACAACAATTAACAAGAAAAATGTACCTTGTTCTGGCTCAGGTGCCTCTGTGGTAAGTGGAAGCTCAGTTGTTGTCACATCAGTTGTTGCAGATTCTGCAGTTGTAGGTTCTGCAGTACTAACGGCACTTGACGTGGTGTCTACTGTGGTACTCAGTGTTGGTGGTTGATTCGTGGATGTAGTACCTGTAGTACTTGTAGTGGGTGTAGTAGTTGTAGTAGGTGTAGTTGCTGTGGTTGGCGCGGATGTCGTAGTAGCTGCAGTACTTGTAGTAGGCGTTGTTGCTGTAGTTGCTGTGGTGGTAGTTGTGGTTGTTGTTGTGGTGGTAGTTGTGGTTGGAGTTGGGGTGGCAGTAGATGTTGTAGTTGTTTCCGGAGGGACTGAAATAATAATGATAATAATAATAATAATAATAATAATAATTACATTATATATTTATTAGAGTGTAAAACCCATAAAGACTTTAGAAGACTTCACAGCACAAAAAAAAACTATCTTAAGATAAAATTGTTTACAGATAACAATGTTTAAGAGATATAATAATCTAAAACGATTATAAGTTAAAAAGACAGAAAATAACATTACAGCTGTGCCATGACCGTTTGAAGTGATGCCTATACCACTTTCACTTTCATACCAGCATAACTGATTGTTTTCTGTCACACTTAAAATATCACTAAAGCATTTCTTCTTTAGTACAACCATTATAAAAATAATCCATGTGACATGGAAAAAAGATTTAAGTAATTACTAACACGTTGCATTTTAACTCTAATATTGCTCTTTACATATATTTTAGTTCGTCATAAAAACACTATTCCTGTTAATTTTAGCCCATGTTCATTTTGGAAATTTTAAATGGGTCGCAATCTTTTTAGCTATGGTTCTGTTGTATTGAACGCTAAATAGGACATGTTGAGTACTGAATTAAAAAAGAAGAGATTTTCTAATATACTTTACAAAAACAACCCGTAAGACAGCAGGCAACGACAGAAACAACATTGAAGCAGAACGCAACTGCAGATGACTTACGTACCTTCAAATTTCAATTTCCCCTTGTCTATCTGGAGTCCAGAGAAAGCGAAGTTATCGTAGACAAAAGCTTTGTGTAGAATAGTTGCAGCCTGGGTTTTACTAATTCCAGGATTCCGAATCTTTGTGGAATCAAACCCTACGGTTAACTCTGCTGTCACACTGCCCGCCCTGTGGGTAGGTAAAACGTAGTGTTGCAGTAGTCAAATATATACAGTGTATATATTAGATTTTTCCTTATTCTAAACGTTTAATCGGTTGTTAGAAGCGACAATTTGTAATTATGAGATGTAATCTTGAGTGCGATGCACTCACCTTTTCACTTCAAATTTCAACTTTGTGCACGCACACGTATAATTATATATTAAATGTTCAATAATGATATGACAGCTTTTAAGTCAAATGTAGCCTAAAAGATAAAACGATTTCCCAGTTATAATAACGAACGTGCAACGTACTCTTAGGGCGCATTTCCATAGATTTTAGATCGATCTATCTCCGTGGGGAGTCTCACAAATTACTGTCAGATAATCCGGCTTAAATGTCCGTCCCGCCTACTACAAGCTGTAAAGGGGTAATTAACTTTCGTGCCCGCTCGGCGGACAGCTATTTAGCGTGAACCCCCAGGGAGTTAGGTCGATCTAGTTGGATCGATCTAATCTCTGGGAATGGGGTCTTAAACTGTCTACAGTTCAGCCTAAATACATGTATGCACATAAACATATAAGAACAAATAACTACAATGCGGCCCAAACATATGTGCAACGTACCTAAATCTGTCCACAGTACAACTCCTATATATGTTCGCCATCACACTGGCCTTGTAAATTTCTGCAACCTAAAATGGAATAAAAGAGTTATAGATTTTTATATATTTATTATGGCATATGCTGTAATTATTTAACATTTTATAAGACATAGTTTTCTAACCTTTACATTTTCAAGATTTCGCATTATAGACACTCGTGACAATTAACTCTTTTACTTTTAGTACAAAGCGGGTTAATCTCAGTTGTATCAGGACTGTAGCCAGTTATTTTAAAGGAGGAGTTCTTTCTTTAAAAAATGGTGGACCCTTTCACGGCGAAACATTTTGACACAGAGCCTGCCGTAGTTCAATGTTTTCATTAAGAGCGGGTCTTTTCCCGACCAAAATGCGGTTGTTCTCCCCCCCACCCCCCTCCGTCCCCGACGTACACACGCCTACGTACCCCGTTACAAATCTGGGTGGCCAGCGCTCTGTAGGTGGTCGATGAGGGGTCGTTGTGTGCCGCAGTAAAGACCACATTGGTCAAGGTGATTTCCCCGGTCAAGGTGAGGGGGGACACTGGAAGTATAGTTATCATAATTAACTTAGACCCCATTCCCGCAGATTTTAGATCGATCTATCCCTGTGGGGAGTCTCACTAGATTACTGTCAGCTTAGCCGGCTTAAATGTCAGTCCCTCCTACTAAAAGCTGTAAGGGGGTAATTAACTACCGTGAGCGCTCGGCTGACTGCAATTTAGCGTGAACCCCCCTGGAGTTAGGTTGATCTAGATGGATCGATCTAAAACTATGGGAATGCAGTCTTAGGCTTGATCATACCCTGCACCATTACGGTCTGTAGGTTCATTTGTCCTGCAGTGCGAAAATACTGTAGGTGCGTTTAAATTGGCATATTTAAAGGGGACACCAAATTCATTATTTGACGTTCAAATCATACTGTTGATCGATATGATAGCTTGAAGAGTACAGTAAAAATGAAACTTTGCCTAATAAACTAAAAATGTGGTATTGCTCTTTTTAAAAACTGGATGCACTTATTTTTGTATTACAGTTGTACCCAAATATCCATTCCAACAGCTAATATTATGTCGATGACAATTTTTGATTACATTGATATTAAAATCTTTCCTATAATCGTCCCCTGTTAAATACACAAGTGACAAAATTTCTTAAAGGTAGTGGTAGATCAGAAAACGTAAAGTAACCAATACTTATATCAGTCCAATTTTTGAGGATATTCAAAAAGAAATACACTGATCATCAGACATGCAAGTAAATATTAGTTACAACATAAATCAATGCACTTACCCGATCCTGTATATGGGATATCACTTTGAGCTGAGAATGATACAAAGAAAATATTATTGATGACCGTGCACATGTAAACATTCATGAATTTCAAATATATTGGTAAAATTGAGTTTCGACATTAAAAAAACACAGTTTAAAGGATAAAAAATTGTAAATTATTTAAGACAAGACGTCAAGAAATTAACTTGTCTTAAAATTATTGTCTTAAAGTTCAAAAAATCCTGTCAGGATCTATAGTTATGAGACAACAGAGACAGAAACTGGTTGACCCCTATCCGCTATTACACGAACGTCCGCTGTCTGTTTTGTTATCCGTTACAAGAGAAAAAAACGGATACTCACTTGCAAACACAATTGCAGCAGCTGTCACACCTATGAGTACCAGGGCCACAAAAAATATCAGGACAACCATTCTTCCGCTACAAGAGCGCCTTTTCGTCTTCCCCTTCTTAGATCTTTCCCAGACTTCGTCGTAACTATCTGTAGAGGCATTGGACGGAATGAACAAGGAAGCTGGTGTCCGTCTGTACGGGTCTTCGTTGTAGTAGGCCAGTGCCGGAAGACGTCTTGTGTTACTACGTCCTGCGGTGGAATACGCTTCACCCCAAGCGTCATAGAAAGGGGAGTTGTAGGCATATTGATCTGGACGACCCTGTGTGAAATGATAATTTTATGAAAATTAGGAACATAAAAAGAATGGATATACACGTACCAAGTATGACGGACGATACGAGCGCCGACTTTTGGAATTTATTCCATGGGGAGTCCTCATATTTTTATGTTTTTTTTTAATTAAAAAAATATGGACGTATCAAAATGTGCACTTTGATGAAAATAGATTTTCAGAAAATGATGTAATGGGAGTGTAAAAGATTTTACAACAGTGTCATAATTGAATGTTTTTTACGTTTATCAAAGCTCTGCTTCATATGAATGCATACTAGAGTCAAGAAAGACGGCCAGGTTAAAGTTTTACTTCGCTGTTTCTTTATAATTCCTAACTCCTTACTTTCTCTCAAATTCCGAAGTCATCTTTCTCTTTTTTTTATAGTTATTTCTGTTGATAAAGTTTTTTCAGTTTATTTATACATGTATTTGACAATACCATATAGAACAATTTTAAAAGGCCTCGTCTACATTTGCAAAAGTCACATTATTTCCTCATCCATTTGATACAGTTCTTTTATAACCACACAAACTGCCCAGCCTCCAGCGCTGTGCAAACTACTTCAAAATATATATATAAAAAACGCAAAATTGACTGCAATTTTGCGTGCTCTATTTTCCTTCCAAAACACTTTTCTATTGACTGTCTTGAAAAGAACTGTCAAAATTATGTAAAAGGTAGATTGGCTGGCTTTTCGGGTGACTGTTGGGGATATTGTAAATCGATGACTTGCTTTTTTTAATTTCCATTTATATATCTAACCCCCTAAGAGTATATCTCGGAGTTATCACCTGTATTAATGTAGACAGCGCTATGACAATAGTAGATAGCGGTTTTAAAGACCATTTTGTTCTATTTGAGTGGTATAATTTAGCGATACACTATATATTGGTACACTTTGAGAGACTGACAAAATTATTACTAGAACTATTAGATAAGAATGTCACCTAAACGGAGCCTCTGCGCTCGACAATTTCAGTGTATTACGAGCACCTATGTCGGGCAGAGGAGTAGACATTATGGTTCGTTTTGCCACGTTTCGCTTGAAATGCTATTTGGGATGAACAAGGGGGAAAAGATTACCTAGGGAAAGTC